AAGAGTCAAATTTTATAGATTCAAATTTATGCTTTTTGGGGGTAATTTACTATAGCATGTATCTTGTTTAAGAAATCTTTCATAAAGATATCATCTTACCTTTTGTTTGAAAGGCTTCAAAATCTTATTTTTTACACCGAAGCTGCTAGTTCCCTTAGAACTAGTTTTGCCTCTGAACTGAGGTGAAGATTCAATTTCATTTCTGTCCTTGTGGTATCTTAACATAAATTAAGTTGTCATACAAGTACAGTAAGTCTCTGACTTACAAACAACTCCTGCTGTGAACTTTTATAGGTGCGCTGTATAAAATTCACAGGTCCACTGTGTAAGACTCGCTCTGGTGGATCATGAATGAGTTTGACTTACGAATGTTTCCTGGACGGAACTGGTTTGCAAGTTGGGGACTTACTGTACAGGTCTGTTTGGGGCTGAGTTACAGTCATTTCACTTTCTAACTTAACAAATACTGTCTTACAGCATTTCTATTTGTCTATTGTATTGTGCTGGCACCAAGCTCTGTTAACCGCTATGACTCTATACTAAGTGATAAGATTTGGCATAGCAAGCCTCTCCTACCCTGTTCTACTCCAGGAATGCCTGGGTTATTCTTGGCTTTTACATCTTTTTATTATATGTTAAATAAAGCATCTTGTTCAGGTCAGCAACATGTTACAATTCACTTCTTATTATAATTGTGTCAGCTTGTGGATTAGCTGAGCAGAATCAGTGTCTTTATGATATTGAATCTTACTATCCACAGACAGTTATAATCATGTTATTTGTATCTTATAGTTTTCTTTTTTTAGTGCTGGGAACCAAACGAAGGTCCTTAGCATTCAGTTACATCTCCAGCCTTTTGCCTGCTTTTTATTTTCAGACCAGGTCTTCCTCAGTCACTAAGTTACCCAGGCTGGGTTTGAGCTTGCAGTTGTCCTGCCTCAGCCTCCCAGAGTGTTGGAATTATAGGCATGCACCATCATGCCTGGCTTTATATTTTTCTTGTGTGTGTTTTGTTCAATACGATTATTTGTAGAGAAGCCATTTTACCCAGTCCATGATAAGGAAGCTGATCATGAGACTGTTTAATAGACTTCTCTTAAATTTGTTAAGCTAGAAAGGGAAATGAGTGTAACTCAGATCCTCATCCATAGCTTTCTCTCCATCCCATTGTGCCTCATCTAATTTGAAACATACAATTTGGATATTACATGGGTCACATTATACCTGCCAATCCATAGTGGCTGGACCCAATTCTACGCACATCAGTGTCTTGGTTACTTTTCTCTCGTTGCTGGGACAAAATACTTTACGACCAAAATTAAGGAAGGAAAGGTTTATTTCGGTTACAGTTTGTGGAGGTTTCAGTCCATACTTGGCAGGTTACAAGGCAGAGTGGCACATGGCAGAGGGCTACAGCTCATGGCGGCAGAACACAGCCAAAGCAACAAGCACTAAAAGGGAGGAATGGCCCCAAGCAGCCTCTTCATGTCCCTTATATATGCATACTATCCACCCCAGGGCGGGTGTAGCTCTCACATCCATAATCAATCAAACTCTAAGCCTGCCCCATCACTGCATGAGGCTTTGGGGGGACACCCAGACACACACCAAAACAATCAGTATGGCTGCCACATGGTTGCTCCTACCTAGTCCCTTCCCCATGCAGTAAGGATTCTAGCTGATGAGAACAGATACCCTGAGTGTCAGGAATGTATTCTTTTAGGAAAGACAATATGCAAGATTGGGAGCCCAATCTGTCTCTCGCCCTTTATGTTCACTGTGGAAAAGTGCCTAGATCATTTATGAACCAGTCCTTTTTCTTTTAGTATGCCTAGGAGTGGGAGGAAATAAAATTTTCACCAAGATGACTGGTTCTCACAGTAGGATGGCGTGAATTTTGCAGGCAGTGTTTACAAAGCGAGCTTCTGCTCGCGCTAATCATTGCTTATGTCCCCTCGATGATGAGCAATAATCCCGGTGCGCCTGTGTGGCTGGAAAGCATAGGGTATCTGCCAGCCAACTCCAGAGCCACTTGGCTGCTGTGATGGATAGGAAGTCGAGCGGACTCCATTTAAGAAGGAGACTTGGGCAGGACGTGATCTTTTGAGAATAGCACCTGGCCTCGTTCCAGAAGGAGGGCTCTGGCACTCCTGGAAGAGTTTCTAGACTTAGGTCTAATGGATACACAGAGTGGTATTAAAGTGTAAGACTGGATGGTAGCATTTCTGCCTCTGGGGAGGTGGTCATCATACTCCAGATCAGCTGAAGCAAATCACTTAGTGCCTTCATCGTGTCAATCCTGGAAGTTGAGACAATGGGGATACGGGGATGTGCCATAGAAAACAGCCATGGGGGGTCAACCATCAAGGGGAAGACTGCTGACAGTGGGGTTTGGGGGGCTGACAGAGTGTGGAGACCTCTCACTCCAACCTCCAGCAGTGTCTGTCCTGCTTGCTCTTGTGCGTGAGTGGTGGTCATGGGAAGTGAGGTATGCTGCACAGCTCCTTGGCCCTGGAGAGCTATGCAGGGGACAGTGAAGGTCAGATCCCAGAGCCATGGGCAGGCTGGGCCTCAGAAATTGTAAGAATTACAGGACAGGTTTAAGCTGATCTAAGTCTGAAAGTACAAGAGGACCTCAGCTACTTCAATAAAATTGGGCCCTATACCTAGCAAGCATGACTAATTTTCAGATTTTACATCGATCCAAATAGAACATCAAGAGAGGAGACTAGGGATTCCCTGGAAGCCAGGGCTTAGAGGAGTGTCGTGGCAGGTGTGTGCATGCACAACAGTGACCTTGAGTTTGGATTTTTAATGAAAAAGTAGGGCTGGGCATGGTGGTGCATATCTATAACCCCAGTACTCTGAAGGCTGAGGCGGGAGGATTGCAAGTTTGAGCACAGCTTGGGTAATTCAGTGACTTAAGGACACTCTGTCTCAAAATAAGGCTGCAGATTCAGCTTATTAAAAGGCTTTGGGTTCAATCTCCAGTACTAAAAAAGAATACAAGTAGATTTTTAAAAAATTTAAGCTATTCTTTTACTAATTGGCCACATCTATAATGCTCTTCCTCCCAGAAGGCAGCGTGATTGAGGGAAGAAACCATGGCTTTTCTGTTAATCTTATGCCCATTTGAATCCTCGTCATGTCAAGCGCTACCTGTAGGAACAAGCAAATTGCTTAACCGTTGAGCTTGCTCTTTATCTGCAGCATAAGACGATCAAACCACACCTCAGTGGGCTGGGTGGGGATTAAGATAGGGGATGGGAGCAGCTCCGGCGGTGGCATTGGCCACAGCCCTCTGTCTCTGTGTTGCCCTCTGTCTCTGTGCTGTGCTGTCCGTCAGGATGCTTTGTCACCCCAGTCTCCTGCGCCACTCCTGATAAGCAAGAGAGTGCAGCTGAACTAAATCCTCAGTGAGAACCACAGTGTTCATGTCTCCACCCACTGGCTCGTGGAATGGGACATCAAGTCTCCATGCCCACTATTCCTTTTTTTTTTTTTATGCCCACTATTCCTTGTGAATCTTGTCACTGTCTCCCACTATATGGAAACATTAGCTCCAAGGAGAATAAAATAAGCTTTATCTTGGTCCAGCACAGCTGTTAGCTACAAGTTTGATTACCAGTGGTCTTCCAGGGAGTCTAGTCCAGCCTTGCAGTTCAACAGCTCAGAGTCAGAGAGCTTGTGTGACTTTGCAAGGTGAAACAGCTCATAGTGGCCCATGAAGGACATAAACTGGCTCTTTTTACCTGGATATTTGGGTTGTAGCTTGCTGCCCTTGTGTGAGCACATGTGGGTGTGAGTGTGTCTATATAGGTGTGTCCTGTGAAAGCTTGTATATGTTTGTATACAGCAAACATATACTTGTATATGTTCGGTGTGTGTATATCCTGTCATGTGAGCATGAACAAAAGATCTTATCAAAGAGCAGGTCTCATCCTATAGAGTTACTCCACTGTAATGACTACCAAGCCCCCTGCCCTCTCTCCTTGTTCTGGCTGGGGCATGCTGCATTTCTCTGATGATAGGAGTCAGGCCCTGGAACTGTGCCTGGGAGGTGCAGCAACCTCGGGGTCTCACAACCGTGTAGGAGGCACTAGCATCTGCAATCACAGATATGGAATGGGGCCGGAATATAGGGGCACCACAGGGACTGCTGTGCAGGGACAGCGGGAAGCATGTGGCCCAATTCTTAACTGCTCCCGGTCCAGGATTGCTCTATGGACAGGCAACAGGGTCACCCATCTGTAAATTCAAGCCCATGGAAAAGCCCCTCCTCGGGTCTGTGGGCTGGTGTGGTATCCTTCTCGGGAAATGGGATGCCCATCTCTGTCCTGCAGGTGTGTCCAGCCAGCCTGAGGTTGGGGAGATGGCATCTGTCTTGGTTACTTTTCTCTCATTGCCGGGACAAAATACCTGATGCCCAAAATTAAGGAAGGAAAGGTTTATTTTGCTTACAGTTCGTGGAGGTTTCAGTCCGTACTTGGCAGAGTAGAAGGCAGAGTGGCACATGGCAGAGAGCTACAGCTCAGGGCGACAGAACACAGCAAAGCAAAAACCACACACACCAGGGAGGAATGGGGGAGGAATGGCCTCAAGCACCCTTTTCCTCTCCCTTACATATGCAAACTATCCACCCCAGGGCGGGTGCAGCTCTCACACCCATAATTAATCAAACTTTAAAAGCCTGCCCCATGGCCACATGAGGCTATGGGGGGACACACAGACATAAACCATAACACCATCTTAGCTCAAAAGCTGCTTTCGGAAGCAGCTTGGCAAGCCTCAGAGCCCCCTGCCTTCTCTTGGTTCTCAGGGAAGCCAAGAACCAAAGACAGAGCTTTGGGGACAGCTTTGGGGTGAGTCAAGGGACTGGCACCATCCTTGTATATAATGGAGTAGGCTTGTAATCCAGGAATTCTCAGCTCACAATTGCCAGAGAAAAACCTTACAGGAGCAAACATCAGTAAGGGGCTGGGCTAGGGCCTGGGACTTACCTGAGCAGTTGGAGATCACTGTCTCGGGGGCTTTGCTTTTCACCCAGATGGTTCGGATCACAATGCCATAGATGATGCTGTGGAAAGAGCAAAGGCTGATGCATCCTTATGTAGAAGACACAGGGAACAGACTGCTCCATCTTCTGAGGGGAAGCAGGGAGGCAGGGTCTCTCACTCATGCTGTCCCTATCCTGGTGTAAATGGGACGGTCCATGGAGATCAGTCAGAGGAAGCCACTTGTTTCTGAAGTGAGGAGGCTGAGACCTGGGCAAGGTAAGCAATCCATGTGGGGAGATGGACAGCATGATTGGAACCCAAGCAGCCCTCAGAGTTAGTCTCCTCTGTTATGCACTTGTGATATGACCTTGACAGTGGACTGTCTTTACAGGGGCCCCTGTGTCTCAGCTTCCTGAATTCATGCCTGTGTATGACCTTTTCCTTCGAGTGTGGACAGTGTCTGGAATTTGCTACTGATGAATCCAGAGAGGAACACAGGATTATTTAGGGTGCAATGCCTGGCTTGCCAGTGTACTGGAAGAAGCCAGTTGCCATGAATGCTGCAGCCTGGAGGAAATTAATTCTAAGGATTGGAGGGACTTGGAAGGACTGTTTTCCAGCTGATAACCTCCAGCCCAGCCATAAGCAACACCTTGATGGCCTCTGTACCTAAGCAGGGATCCAGTTAAGCTATCCAGAACTCCAACCCACAGACACTGCAGATAATACATGTATCATTGTTTTTTTTTTTTGTTTTTTTTTTGTTTTTCTCCGGTACCAGGGACCGAACTCACGACCTTGCACTTGCCAGGCAAGCGCTTTTGCCGCTGAGCTAAATCCCCAGCCCCGCATTGTTTAAGTCATTGTTGTGACCATTTGTTACACAGCCATAGCTAATTGATGCACCAAGCCTTGGCTGAGATTCTGTAAGACAGAGTGAATAGTACCAAAGACTGTTTTAATACTTAAAACTGTAACTTCCTTTTTGGCCCTCTTTGCCTGTTTTTCACATCACATCACACCCACACTTGGATGATATAATAATCTGTGCTTAACAAGGTGTTAATGATTTGCGCACGTCAGCACATTGTGGATTCTACATCCCCTTTGATAAGTATAAAATTTAGACCCTTTTAAATGTTATTTGACATTTCAAATTTAATTACCCAAGCTAAGAAAGTTTGGGCAAAGCACTTCTTTATTTCAAAACTGCATAATTTTTTTCCTCTTGAGAGTCACTAGTTAAAAGAAAAACAAAAAACAAAACCAGAGCTCCAGTTTTCTGTAGCTGGCAAAGCACTAATTGCTTTTAATGATCGTTAGACTATAATTTAATTAATGAGTGTGTTAAAACCCTGTACTCCCTTCTGCGTTTCCCCATTCCTGCTTAGCAGTCTCCTCTGAGTGCTCCGGGGAAGCCTGGGGCCTTTTTTGAAATACTCTGTTCCTTCTCATATACCTTCCTGGGACTTTTCTGTAATTTATGGACCTTCATTAAGGGAAAAAAAAAAGAGAAAAAAGTTATTAGTCAGTCTCTTCTTCACCCTCAGTAAAATATTTGTTAGGTTGAAAAGCTCCTTTCCCAGGTAAATGAAACGCAAGGTTCAGGTCACAACCCCATGAAACATTAATGTTGTTTGACAATTATAACCCCCATATTTCACTGATTGATAACTCAGATATTTATTGACTATCAATTGTACACACAATGAACAAGCTAAGGAAAGTCTTATGAATTAGAGATTTTTTCTGCCTGGGACTATTCAGATGGTGAGTGGAGTGCCAGCACCTGGCACTGTTACTGGGCAAAGAGCTGCTACTGTATCCTCACAAATTTTGCTCAAACCAACCTGCTTTCCAGAACTTGGAAGTCCACAGGGCCCTGTGCAGTATACTTGTCTCCTTCTTTCTCATTCTTCCCTGCATAGCAAGGATGGCTGATTGTCCCTTCAAACTGACACCACAACCTGGACCTTCCTCTCCATTCTCTCCTCTTCAGTATCAATACAGTCTTTCTTCCTTTGATCACTTCTTCTATTGTGGTAAAAGCTACATAGCACTTACCATTGTCACTATGTTAGTTGCACAGTTCTGTAGCATTCGATGTCTCCACAATGCTGTGTGACCTTCCCCGCCATCATTCTCCAGAACTTTTCATCTTCCCTGACTGAAACTGTTCCCATAAAACACAAAAACATGGAGTATTCCACATCTTTGTGGGTCACCCTGGCACAGGGTCATGCTAGCCTCTGTGTCATCCAATTCTAGCTTAGGTGCTGTCAAAATGTGTGCCCCTTACAACCTTCTAAACTCTTGCCTGATTATTGCCACAATTCCCTTGTACATCCATGTCCCCATCTCCCATGCTCAGGCCACCATCAGAACTGGAGCTGCCGTTCTCTGGCTTAACCTCCCACTCCACCCCACAGTCCACAGTGCCAGGAGATGCTGTCAGGACTTCTCCAGCACAGCACCCAGGCCTCCCGCATCTTCCTCTGCCTTTCTCTTCTGTATCATCCTCCTCTTGCCCCCTGAAACCCACTGTGTCTGGACACAGCTTTCCCTTTGCTGAGCAGCCCACAGAGCAAACCTTCTGAGCCAGGCCTGATGCCGAGCTCCCCATGCCATGGTTGGTGGGTGAATGTAAGTCCCAGCACTCCCCACACCTCTGAGCTTGTTCTGTCCTTCTCTGGAACCCATTTCCATTCTTTTTTGGTTCATTCTCCACAGATCATGTTGCTATGAAATTTTTCTGGGCTTCTCTGTTCCCCATCCCTGGGTCCTCCATGGCAGGGAAACCTGGCATCATATACCTGCATGGTAGTCAGGTATAAAAGGTCAAGTGACCTACTGCTAGAAATACAGTAGTTCTGTCCCAAAATGGAGCTAAGGAAAAGCATCTCCACTGGCTTGGATATGATCTATTCTGTGTCTTTGATCTCTCTTTACTCTCTCTCATCAGGTTTAGGTTTTCTGGATGCTTCTTAGACATCTGGAAACTGAAGGATCTCTCCATTGAAGAAAGTACCCCTCCCCTGTAACTGGCTGCTTCAGTCTCCAATTCTTAGAAGGCCATCTAAACAAATGTATGTTCCTTCCTGTCATTCATAGAGGCAGCTCAGAGTGGTGGGACAAGGAGAGGGCCTGTCACTAGAGTTAGGCTCCCAGGACTGTCCTCAGAGGATACTAAGTCGGCTCCTGAGTCTTTTGTTCTGAACCAATGGTAAGAAGTATTCAGGAACCAATGGATGAGCTCTGCTCAGACCCCAAGTGTCCCCACAGATTCCCACAAGGTCAGCACAAGGTTGGGGCTTGAAGGTTGCCTGTCTCAGTCTTGGCACCAGAGGCCTTCAGAGCCAGAAGGATCTGTGGCTCTAACTCTGCCCATGGCCATCCCAACCCCTTTCAGACTGGGGAACAATGCCAGATGTGCTCTGGAAAGCCCACCTGACGCTGTGCTCTAAGGTGTTTCAAGACACCTTAGGAAGCCTTGAGAATGCTTCCTGGTAAGACCTGTCTCTCTCCTCATTAATGTTCACTTCAAATTGTGTTTGTTGACACCACCTACTTTGTTCCAGGACTGGTTGAACCACCGTGGCAGTAAGCAAGCAGAAGAGGTCCTGGCCCTCATGAAGCCCACAGTTTCCTTAGGGTGATGATGATAAAATGAAAACACAATAAATGATTGCAAAGAGGTAAAGTGCTGTGAAGATAAAATGTAAGTGATACAAGAGTATGGTAGAGTATGTCTTGTGAAGAGTATGTCTTTCACAAGACAAGATGGTAGGAATTCACCACTGGTGAAACTCTATATCTTTTCTGATTGTTTTGGTTTGTTTTTATCCTTTATTCTCTTTAATGGCTTGATCAATCTTGCATCCTTACATCTGGTAATCTGAGCAACTTCACTGAAGATGACAATATGTAATATAACAGCCACTGTTAATTCCTATCATTTTGTTGTGAAATCCTGTATCATTTTTATTGTTTTTGCTTTGTTTTGTTCTTGTCTATGTTATTGATATTTTGCTATTTTTCTTCTTTTTATTATTTTTTCTAAAACAAAAAAGGAGTACGGCAGGGGGTTGGCTTATTCTACGGGTCTAGGAAACCATCCCAGAGGCGATGAAATTTTAGCTGAGGTCAAAGTTCAGGCACTGTTCAGCACATATAATCTGTTTTAATCTGTGACATGAAGAAAAATACATATGTACATGCTTTTCTATGAATTACACAGTCTTGGAATACTGTCCAAGACAGGTGCCTCCAGCACAGCCTCTGAGGACCAGGGTGGGCGGGGGGAGGAAAGGACTGACCTTTCTGTCCCTGCTTCTTTGTGTGTGCACAGCTGTCCTCTCATGGTGGCTCTGGTTGCAAGGTGGGGACCTGATGAAAGGCACTGGCAAGTGTGGAATGTGTGTCCACACTCTTGGCCTTGGGGTTTTCTCCAGCTCTTTCTGTGGTAGAGCAGCTGGTGCTAGGGCAGAGGGAAGAAGCTCAGAGGAATCCCATGCCATCTGGATCAGGACTGCTGAGATGGAACCCGAGTATGTGTCACCTCTCGGCCCAGCCCTCAGTGGGGAACGTCAGGGATGACTTGTCACCGTGCAGCCCTGCTGTGTGTTGGTCCCTCTGTGAAGCACTTTCCATCCTGTCTCATTAACCCCATCTGTTAAAGTGGTGCTCTGTACAGTATGGTAAAGGCTTAATAACTCCTTTATTAAGATTGGTGAAACCTTTCCAAAAGTTCAGAAGATACCATCTTGCATCTCATTGGCCAGGACTGGACCCTGTGGCTGTTCCTGAGCAGTTCACAAGCCAAGGTGTGTGTGTGTGTGTGTGTGTGTGTGTGTGTATGTGGGTGACCAGTGGAATGCATACTGGAAGTTCAGCCCCCAGCATCCATCAAGACAGACTTTCCTCTTATTTCCTCATGGGCTACAGCAGGTAGGATGTTACCTGCTTCCCAATGGATGGGTAGACTCAGGCCCTTTTTATTTTCCCTGACTTGAACTGCTACCACTGGACAGTGCTGGCCACACCCCAGACTCTGTTACCCACTGGGTCTTTGTTCGCCACAGGGGATCAACCCAGCAGGGAGCTTTCTCATGGTCTGCTATGGATTTCCCAAGCAAAATAAATGGCTTTTCCTAATAGCCACCCACCAGCACTCTGTGACTGATGTCTGTATCCCTACTTCTTCCTACTTACTCACTGAACCTGCCGGCTGTGGGCTTTCCCTGCCTTGATCTTTATCTCATGATAGGAGGATGAGAAACCAATGAGACAGCCAGAAAACAAGCACAGCTCAAGGGAAGCAGTGACACCAGGCCAGTACCCTCCTCTGCAATAGTCAGACAGCTCACATGGAGTTCTGAGCCCTGGAGCTGTTGTGACTTAGAAAAGCAACAACTGCCTTTGCTGTCAGTCTCTGCAACTCAGTCCTGGAAGCCCAGTCGAGTCACCGATGGAAGAATGACATCTGTATTCATGAACAGAACCCAGCTCTTCCTGCTCTGCCTTCCTCTGTCCCGTCCTGCCTACCTGCCTTCCTGAGGCCTGCCCTTCAGCTCAACATCTCCTGAGCACCCTCACATGTCAGCCTGGGAGTTCAGGCAGAGAGCACAGTCCTTGTACCCAGGAGCTGCAGCAAGTTCCTGGTGACCACATGGATGCAAGGAGGCCAATGTGAAGGAGTGGATACCAAGGAGCCCTTGGCCCAGGGCTGGCAGAGACGGCTCTGCCATTCGGTCTGTGCTGGACAGCAGAGGCTCCTCTCATGGTTCATGTGGCAGAAGCAGGGCAGGCAGAGTTGGGATGAACATCAGGGTCAGGGCGGTGCATGCAGAGGACCAAGTGAGAGAAGCAGGGCTCCTATGGCTGGGGAAGCCAGCAGAGCTTGAGAAAGACATGCGATCTTGTCCTAAGGGATACTAAGGGTGTAGAAAATGAAAGCGGGCAAACCATATGTTTTTTGTGCCAGAAAGGCCACGAATTTAAGTATTTGTATTGTCTCCTTTCTTAATGATGTCGATCATTACTAACTGAAAACAAGAGAAGACCACACTCAGTACAAAGAGAAAAAAGACGAGCAGGGAAATATTCAGTGTTAAATCAGAGAAAGGTTACTGTACAAAGAGCCTCTCTAAGCTGGCCGTGGTGGTGCACACCTGTGATCATAGCACTCTAGGCGGCTGAGGCAGGAGGATCACAAGTCCCAGCCCAGGCCAGCTAACTTAGTGACTTAGGGAGATCCTATGTCAAAATGGAAAATTATAAGAAGTAAGAAGGGCTGGGGATATAGATCCATGTGAAGGCCTTGGGTTTAATATCCAGTACTAAGAGGAAGAAATAAAAATAAACCAAGAAAGAAAGAGAGAAAAAAAGAAAGAAAGAAAGAAAGAGAGAAGAAAAGAAAGAAGAAAGAAAAGAAATTTCACCAAAGATAGTAGAGAAAATCAGTAGAGAACATTGAAACAGATAAAAAGATTAGTAGAGAACATTGAAACAGATAGTAGAGAACACTGAAACATAAAAACTTAAATTTGAAAAACATAAAAACTTAATTTGAAAAAAGCAAAAAATGATAATGTTCACATAAAATGTCCAAAAAGTTTGTAATGAAATACAAATTAAAACAGAAAGTATATCTTATGTGTATGTGCCTATCATGTTAGTGAACACACACACACACACACACACACACACACACACACACCATATAGGAAGACTATGAAACATGGCTAGCAAAGCCAGGAATCTTCTTTGATTTGTAGATGTTTTTAAAAAGTTTTTGCCTGTTAAGCTTGAAATTAAGTGTTTATGTATTCTTACCTAAAAGAGGCACAAAAAGGTATCTATTCTAGTACAAAAAAAAAGAAAGAACAAAGGAAAAAGAGAGGGAGTGAAAGAAAGATCAAGAAAAAGAAAGGGAGGGAGAAGGAAGAGTTGAGTGTCAGGCCTGAGAGATGTGAAACTCCAGAACTATTCTAGGCTCTAGTTAGAGAGGAGATCCCTGGCCAAATGCCCCTGTCCAAGGTAGGGACCATCTTCCCTAGAGGGAAGACAGCTCTGCCCTGGCTTCCTGACAGTCAGGATGTGCCTTAGGGAAGCTCAAAGTCCAGGGAGGTCAGGTTCAAGTTTTCAGGTTCCCCAGAGCCAAGAGAAGCCTGAAGCAGGCCCATGTTTGGCATTTGATGAGAGTCTAGGGAATCTGCTTTTGGCATCATTTCACTTAATTAGCAAACAAATGATATTTTGCTCTTCAAGGACTCTCAGCCATGCAGAGGGCAGGCTTCAGGGAGAAGCCTTGGAGTGAAAAGCAGCCTGGATGGGAAAGCAGTTTCAGATAGATTTGGCCAGACCTGGATACTGTGAACTGAGTGAGTTTTGACAGGAGCAGTTTCCTGAGCTGATGGAAAATCAATCAGGAGCGAAGTCAGGATATACACTGCCACCAAAATCAATGCCTTGGTATGAGCTGCTTGTCTTAGTTACTTGCTTGTTGCTAGGACAGAAAAACCTAACACTCAGAGGTTAGAGAAGGAAAGGTTTACTATAGCTTAGTTTGTAAAGGTTTGAGTCCATAGTTGGCAGGCCCCAAGGCAGGGGAGTAGGACAGAGGAGAAACAGTCTATGGCAGAGCAGCAGGAAGCTGGAAGCAGAAAGTAGCGAGCCTTCTAAACTTTTATCCCATGCGGGTTACAAGCCTAATTTTGGTGCCACCCACACCCAGGATGGGCCTTCTCATTATTCACACCCAGAACTATGCTAAACCAACCAGTGTACTAATCCAGTTATCACACACCCTTAATCCATATCCACATACCCTAGAGCGAGCCACCTCCCCAAAATCCCACATTTGAGTACATGAGGCTTTGGGGGGACATCTAGATGTTAGCCATAACACTGTTCCTTCCAAAAGCTTCCTATTTTTTTTATTTGGAGACAATGTCTTCCTAAGTCACTAAGTTGCCCAGGCTGACTTTGAACTTGTGATCCTCCTGCCTCAGCCTCTAAGAGGGTGCCACCATTCCCAGCCTAAATACTCTCTTCCTCCTATGTCTGACTCCTTTTCTCCTCCAAAGGTCTCACATTGCTGTGACTTGTCTCTGATTGGCTAATATTTACCTCCTTCCAGCAGTGATCTTTGCCTCTTATTTAAGCATCCTAGTACCTACAACTTGTTGGAAGGAGGCAGTTGGAATAAACCATGCACGTTAATTTGCTGACTCAGGAGAACTGGGGGGCAGTCTTTCTGAGAAGGGCTGCAGGCTCAGTTTTCAGGGTTACCCTGTCCCTGCCTAGCATGGCCCACAAAGGAGTCAGCAATTCAGCTTCTCTGAGCCCTAAATCAACTCTTGTGAGCAGCCCAGGCACAGGACAGTGTGCTGGAGGATGCTTCCCCACTTCTAGTACTTTAGGAGACTGAAGGTGACCAAAGGAGGAAACAGATTCTGGCCATGTCAGGCAACACTTGAAAAATATTCATGCAGTTTAGTCATTGAAGAAATGCATATTAAAACAAGGAAAAGCTGGGCATGCTGTCTCACACCTGTAATCTCAGCATTCTGGGAGGATGAGGCAGGGGGACTGCAAGTTCAAGGCAAGCCTGGGAAAACTAGTGAATTAGTGAGACCCTAACATGAAATAAAAACTAAAAAATAAAGGGCTGGGGATGTGGCTCATTGTGAAGGCCTTTGATTCAGTCCCCAGTACCATAACAGCAGAAACAAAACCAAAACAATGAGATGCATTTTCTTAACTTCATGGGCTATATCTTTTCTATGTGGTAGTTTGTGAATATGCATCCAACGTTTTAAAATGAGAATAAGCTTTGATGTATAAGTTCCATGCAATGCCTTTTGAGGAGACAACCAGCAGAGCACGAACACTTTCCATCCCGAGGATTTTTACCAGGGCATTGTTTACAGCATCCAAGCCCAAATGCTAATCTCCTCTCCCACATGTTATGGGCCACACCGTGGTAGGTGTGGGGACACCAAGGCACAGGTTCCATGCATCCCATGCACACATGACATGGAAATCTCTCCAGGTGGTCCCTTACCTCATCCACACACAGAAGCAACCATTTCACAGGTGACATTGGTGTGGGAACAAGGCAGAATCAGTCACACTCAGTTGCAGAGGTCCTTTCTGCTGGGACCCATCAGTGGCCTACACTGGCTGTGGGACGATAAGACACCCTGTTGCTCAGTGGTCATTATCACCAGCACTGCTACCTGTTCACTCTCTGCCACCTCACCTGGCCTCTAGCCCACAGGACCCTGATTCCTCAGCCTCACCTTCTCCTACCTGGACCCTTCCCTTTTTCACTGTAGCTTCTAAAATGTCCTTCCTCTGTTCCCTGCATTGCCTGACCCCATTGTGTGCATCTGCTAGCAGATTAGTACATCCAGTACATCCGACCCTTTTGTTCAGTTGTTTCCAGCTTGTCTATCATTTCATCTACCACATCCCCAAAGCAAGACTGTCTTGCATTTGAAAGTTGTATGATAGAAGAGAAAGAAAATCGTATGATGCTAACCCTGCATTTCAATCCCTTGTGATCTTGGGCAAATTACTTCATCTCTCTGACTGTTTTCTATCCCTATGAAATGAAGACCACAGTGCTTATTCACAGGCCTGTAGGGTGCAGATGGGGTATCTGTTAGCCCATCTTATGGTTCTTGGGCAGTAATGGTTGACTGTGTCATCTTGACCCTGCCTTGGAGGACTGGGGTGTGCCAAGGAAGCTTCAGGTAAAGTGTGACGACCTGGTCAGCTCCTTCAAGCAGAGTAGGAGCACCAAGAGCTCCAGAGGGCAGGAGCCTGCAGCCTGACACAGGAGCACCCTGTTGTCTGGTCCCTGCCTCCTACCTGATGATGGTCAGTGGGATGAAGTACACCAGGAAGGCCACCACGGTCATGTATGGGGTCCAGTAGGAGTCATCAGGCCACAGAGCCCAGCACTGCACCTCACCGTTGGACAGTGTCCTCTTCCCAAATATGATCAGGGTGGGGATGGAGAACAGGAAGGAGAGGCTCCAGGCCACCCCAATGAGGATCTTGGCTTGCCTTTCTGTTCAAGAGAAGAGAAAGATGTGGGAGATTGGGCATGTCCAGGCCACATGTACATCTCTGCCAACGGCCCCTGTGCACTTCCAACTGCCTCAGTTTCCCCATGGATAGAGTGGTAATGATGGAACATTCATCTAGAGCTATTTCTGAGGGGCCACTCTTACCAGAAGGGCATAGGGGCTCCCCTTGCCTTACATTCCCCTCACAACTAAGAGGACTTCTCCTGTTGCCTGGTTGGTAAAATTTCCTGCCCAAATCCTTCATCTTGCAGTTCTTTAATAAGCACTCACGTGATTGTTTCTATCATCTATGTGTTTGTGCTTCTTCTTCACTTCTTAATCTCCTGTCCCTTGCTTCCTTTTAATTGGTATGTTTTCAATTCCTTGCCAAAGTTCTTTATGAGAAGGCTATTAACTCTTGGTCTGCTAAATACATTTTCATTTGTCCTTGAGCCCTTGAACATTCTGATTGTCAGCTTTGCTATGTGTGTAAAACAGTTTCTAACAATTTTGATGTAAGAAAATCTGCCTTTATTTCACTTCTTGTTTCTATTTTTGGTATGGCTTCTAGAAAGACTTCTCCCTTACTAATATTACAAAAATTTTATTCTTATTCTTTTAGTTTTATGTTTAAAATAGTTAACTTTCTCAATCCAACTGGAACCTATTTTACCTATTTAGCTGTAACATGTGGTGATTTAATAGTTTTAAAAATGCCCAGAGGACTTTTGAACAGGGACTCTTCCAACTGACTTAAAATTTCATACACTTCGTATAGGCAACTCTGGTTCCAGTACTCTATTGTTCTAATGAGCAAAATTTAATGCTGTTTTCTAGTATCTGACATGGCATTCTTCTCTTCACTGCTATTGATAGTTTCCTAGTTATTCTTATGTTTCTTTTTCCTAAAGAGTAGTACAGTAATCAGCTTCTCTGGACTTGCTGGCTCAGGAAACTGCCACTTTAGTAAAAAGCAAATCTACTATTTGATGTCTCTATGTCAGTTTATACCCTTCTCAATGGTGACTAAAATTACCACATCTCACTGCCTTCCTGTAGCTCTCTGATGACTTTAAGTTTATTCTAAAACTCCACCTGCTATTTTTTTTTTTTTTTTAGTTATTGGTAATTGAACTCAGGGTCTTTACAAGGAGCTACATCCCAGACTTTGTTTTTATTTTGAGACTGGGTCTAGCTATGTTGCTAAATTGCCTAGGCTGAGTTTGAACTTGGGATCTTCCTGGCCAAACCTTCCAGAGTGCTGGGATTACAGGTTCCACAGTTTGCCTTGATTACTTTTTTAAAATGGTGTTTGAGGCCCTGAGGATATAGCTTAATGGCACAAGCACCTGCCTGGCAAGCACAAGGTCCAGAGTGCGATTCCCAGTACAAAAAAACCCAGTGTTTTGTTCCTCCTTGTCAGTGGAGCCAAGCTTTCCTACTAAGCTCCCTCCCCACTGTGTCAGACCTCACAGTCATCTGTGGGAAAATGGCACAGGGCCCAACAGAGGTGACACACCCAAACAATGATGTGCCTGTGGGCACGGCAATGGCAGGTGGTCACATACCAGCTGCCCCCTCCAATTCTCCACTCACCTACAAACCCAGCAGCCCACTGAGCACCGGACCTAGCAGTAGACCCCATTCCCGAAGCCCATGTGGGCTGGGCGAAGGAGCAGCAGGGTGTGGTGCTGGGCCCTCTCTGAGCTCAGGCACCCTCCTGCCAGCTGCCAATCCTCCTGCTCTGGGTAGCCACAGGTCTTAAGTGCCCTGGGCCCCCACTCCCAGTGTCCTCTGGGGGCATTAGAGCTGTGCTTTCTGACTCATCCCCTTGCTTGTCTCATGGAGCCTGCTCCATTTCTGGATGAGGAGGTTTTCTTTTGAGTTTGGTACAATAATCAATGAAAAATTTCTTTGTAATATTTCTAGGGCTTTGGGGTCAGGAGGGTGAGGCATTTGTTCCTGGAAACCATGCAGGTTGTAGTGTAAGGGCAAGCCTCTTTCCTTGCGTGGAATGCTTCTCAGGGTGGCTCAAGGGACAGGGTGGAAGCAGGGTGTTGAGGGGACAGTCAGAGCACAGTCCTGCCAGCACCTTCCCTAGCAGCTTGGGCCATCCCTGGATCTGTAAGTGTTATCCCAGGCAACTAAACTTTTCTCCTGACACCTTTTTTGGACCATCACACCTATAAAGATAGGAAAGGTGGTGGAGGCAGAGAGCAAAGGGAACAGGAGGAAAATAAAGGAGGGGAGACCATTGTTAAGAATGAAATAATAATGAAAAAATCCCATCCTCACTCAAGGAGCACTCCTTAAGACAGGTCATTTGCAAGTGGGAAGGAGACCAAGGGATGGAGGAAAGGAAGGAGAACAGGAGAATGGGGACCAATAAAGGTTTGTGATGTGTTACATACCTGCACCACTCTCCAGGGGGAAAGTCATCGTTATGTACTGCAAAAACGGACTCATAAAAACACAAATGGAAAGAAAGAAAAAAAGAGAGGAGGAAAGAGCACACCCTCACCTCCTTGCAGAAACTTCATGGGGTAGACGATGGCATGGTACCTGTCTATGCTGAGCGACACGAGGACGTAGGTGGAGGCGTAGAGCAGCACAACCTGAGGACAGCAAGGAGAGGTGGGCTGTGGCTTCTGGGAGGGGAGTGCTTTGAGCAATTTAGACACCTGGAAACTGAGCCAGGTGGAGGTGAGGGATGGGTTGAGGGGATGACTGACCCTCCCCTTCCTTCCTAGACAGGGCCACAGTTCTGGATGCTGGAGGTGGCTTTGCTCCAGGCCACAGATGACAGTGCTTCCCACCTTCCCTCACTCCTGCAATGCCTTTTTGGAAATTCATTTCAGGACCCGTCCTTCTTGACATTTGCATGGTACATTTATTTGTAATTGACTTTTAAAGCTAAACTAATTTTCTCTGCCACCACTGACATTCTGGAATAATTAGAAACAAAAGTTCATTTGCCTTTTATCTGTGTGAGTAGTGAGAGATGATGGAGGGTTGCAGTTTCAGGGGCCCACGTGCCCTTGGGGTCATTTGTCATCCTCTGTGCCCCACGCTCAGTGGGGCCTCCCTCCATCCGCTTCTCCAGCAGAACCCAGTCCTGCCGACCTTCTCCACACTCACTTCTATTAACCTCACCCACACTGGCTAATTATCTGTGTACAGGATTATTTGTAAACTCTGCAGAAGAGGAAATTAGGATGTGAGAAGTTAATATCTCTTCTGCCAGAGGCGAATTCAGAGTATAATTAAATGAAATGTCTCTGAAAGAATGATCAGAGTGGAAATTTTCCAGCCAATTTAAAGCTTCATTTCTACTGAAAGTCCAGCTATGCCAATGCTTTGTAGATTTAAGATTAATTCTGGAGCATGTAGAAGAGTAACGAGAATACTGAAGTCTCAAGATGAGCACTCACCGAATGTGTGCCTTGTTTGTTCTTTCTCTGGCTCATATAAGTAGCACCCTAATGAATTTTCTCATGGACGTGGGATGCAGCCAGGTCACAATAAACCCACTGTAAGTGGAAAATATATTAAACTGATAATGCATATACTTTACCTAATCTATTGAGCATCAGTTTCTCACCGTAAATGTGTCAGAACATATAGCTGGGCAAAATAGACTCAAGGCCCATTTTGTAAGAGTGTTGAACACCTCCTGCAGCTTGTTGAGTTTGGTAGTGGAAGGAAAAGCACAGTAGTTGTATGGGTCTGCTTTTGCATCCTGATAAAGTAAAAAAATCATAAATCGAATCATCAAAGGTCAGAGCTCATCTGTTGGTTGCGGCCATTCCTTTTTATCTTTGTCTCTGTGACATGATCACACTTGCATCTCCTCACTCATGTGGAAGGCACTGCAGGGACAGGGTGGCAAGGAAGGGTCAGAGACCACAGGCTCCCAGGAGCTATGAAAAGATATTTTTTTCTTGTGCAAGAGGTGACAAATGGAGAAAGAGATAAATGGTTAAGTTTAAGGAAAGAAGAAATCAGACAATTGGTTCTTTAGGGAAAAAAAAATAAGGTTTCTAAGTGTGATTTATGAACTCAGTATTGTTAAATCTAGTGACAACCAGCTGGAGGTGTGGCATTAGAGGCGGGTGCAGAGAAGAGTCCATCATGGGGTTGAAGGTCATAAGAACCTTGCACATTGGTGAATGTCCCAAGTGAGGTGGCCCATGGTTCAGAACCTGCAGCAGGAGGAAAAGTCACCAAAAGTGTGTCTGGAGAAGCAAGAAATTAACAGAGATCAACTCTGTGACACAGTGAAAAAGGGAATTTACTTTTGGAGATTAAACATCCTCAGACATTAAGGTAGGATAAGAAAATGAAAGGTTATCTAAAAGAAATGCATCTGAAATTATGCTGCTTCTCTACAAAGTGAGTGCCAGGGAACAGTATGAGAACATGTTCAGAGCTTTGAAGGAAAAATTATGCTCCAAGAACTTTGTAAATATCATTTCTGCACCAAGCACAGGACAGTTTTTCAAAGATGTATAAGAAGGAAGAAAATAGAACTGCACACACTCTTCCTGAACATCCTCCTTAGGGGAACTCAGCTGACAGAATTGTTTAAAATTTAAGAACTCAGGAAAGAGGAATAAATAATTGCAATGATGTAAGCAACGAAGTTCATGAAATAATTATGGGTATAGTTACAGAACACATCAGAGAAAAATTTGAGGAGTTGAGTGAGGGGAGAGAGAAAAAGGAAAGAAATCATGTGACTTTCCATTTACATATTTGAAATATCACTTCTGTTTTACGCTCTAATAGAGTTTATTAAAACCAAAAATTAAAGATAAATATGGTGAAATCCAATGAAAATGGAAAAAATTTAATGTGTTTGTTTCTTCTGCCATGATTGCAAACTACTGCAAGGTCGGTGGTTTACAGCAATGTGAATGCATTCAGTTCTGCAGCCCAGAAGTCCGGGTCATTTCTGCCAGGGCAAAATCAAGGTGTTGACAGGGCCATACTTCTTCCAGAGACACCAAGGGAGAAGCTGACCCTTGTCCTTTCCAGCTTCAGGTAGCTGGTTGCATCCCTTTGCTTGTCAGCCCAGAAATCCAATCTCTGAGGCTTCTGTGTGTGTCAAATTTCCCACTAACCTTCCTCATATGCTTGCATTTAGGGCCCACCGTGTTAATTCAGAATAATCTCACTTTTAACTTCTTAATTTAATCACATATGCCAAGTCCCCTTTTGTCAAAGAAGGTGACACACATAGGTCCCAGAGATGAAGGTGTAGATTTTTGTAGGAGGCAGGTTCAGCCTACCACAATTAAAACTCAAATAAGAAGGGGAAAAAAACAAAGAGCAGGAAATACTTACCATAGAAATGTTGAGAGATGACTGACTGAAGTAATGCCAAACAACATTTCTCACAATAAGTGAGGAGTGGCTTAAGTGCCTCCACTGAAACAAAAGCTATTTTTAAAAACCGTGCCTAAAATCCAACTGTGTACTTCTACAACTCAGCTTTCTCATCAGTGAGACACAATGCCTAGCACCCCCAACTTAAAGGAGGAGAGGGTGAAGTTGGCTCAGGGTTTCAAAGGATCCAGTTCATGTTAGAGACCTCAGGGCAGAAACTTTTGTTCATGGCAGCTGAGGAGCAGACCAGGGGTTGAGTGCTGGAGAGGAACTGACTAGGAATCAGACATAGACTCCATGGTCATACCTTTATAACCCTCAGGCACACTCAAGAGCGGGCTTTACTAATCTACCAGGCATTGTTTTAATTCAGTGTAGTTGACAAATTGGGGTTAATGGCCACAGTACTGTTTAGAAGAAAAACCACTGAAAGCAAATGATGTTAAAGTTTAAAAATAGAGGGTCAGCCAGGGGTATAGCTCAGTGGCACAGCACCTGCCTGGCAAACATGAGGTCCTGAGTTCGGTTTCTGGTGTGAAAACAAAACAAAACAAAACACGATTAAAGGAACATTAAGCAATCAAAAACCAAAAGAAGGCACTTAATGTAATACCACTATAATTCAAATTAAGTTTAAGACACATAATATTATATGTGATAAGATTATTTATATTGATAAAAGATATAATATAAAATGACAAGAAAATATTCATAAACTGGAAAGGAATCTGGGACTGGTAGGGGATAGAAGGGTGGGAAAAGGAAAGGGAAATAAAAAATGATGAAGATGTGATATGCCTACGTACCAGTTCCCCAAGATAAATGCAATTATCATATATTGCAAACATATACTAATAAAAAATAAAAAAGAACATTCACGAATTCACAAGGAACAAAACATTTATATATGTATATCAAAAGTGTTCAAAATATTACAGAGAAAAAAACAACAAAACCTATAGGAAGGAAAATTAAACTTTGTGATGTAAGAATGTCACACATTATTGTAAAATAGCCAGAAAACATTTCAAAACTTGGTTATATACTAATATACTAAGAAAGAAAACCCTTCAACATATTCCAGAAGTAGAATTTATGCAATTCACATATTTCAAACAACAAGCAGTAAACTGAAATTAGTAACATGTTTCTTATTTTTTTTAAATACCACTTGGAAATTTAAACATCCTTGCAATTAACTCAAGTCAAGAAGGAAATCAAAGTACAATTATAGTCAATTCATAAATGTCAACAATGAAAGCGCTACATATCAACAACATATGGGACACCATTCGGAGAACAGACGACAGCTTGTGGGCATATGTCTGAATTCTCACCAACCCACCCCTTAATTTTGACAGAAATGACCCAGGAAATAGGAAAGTAAAGAAAATCTTGCACAGAGAAGTGAGATTTAAATGCTGGAAACAGAGAAATCTTAGAAAAATGCCAGATTGGATTCATATAAAGGAGGATTCCTGGGCTGATTTAAAAATATGTACTTTTATTTTTTAGAACAATTTTATATCTACAAAAACACTCCTGTAGACAATAAGGTGAACTTCCATATAGTATTACCCATCTCCCACCTACACACTTTTCCCTCTTTAACAGATGTGCATATGTTAAAACTAACGAATCAGTATTGATGCATGATTATTAACTAAGCTCTGTGGTTTACATTAATGTTCACCCTGCATCGTACAACTCTACATACGGGTTTTGACAATTGCAGGGAGTCTGTGTATATCATTACAGGGCTATACGGAAAGCTTTCACTGACCTAATAATCCATGCTTATGTGGTTTTTCCTCCTTCTGCCAAGTCCCTGGTTTCCACTGACATTTTTAAAAGCTACCCTATATTTTTTTCTTTTGCAAAATGTAGCATAGTAGGAAGTACACATGACTAGCTTGAGGGATGCCTTCTTCCACTTAGCATTGTACAGTTAAGATTATGCCACATCTTTCCATTGCTCAATAGGTTGTTTCATCATTGAATACTCTTTCATTTTATGCATGTACCACAGTCTGCTCATCCTCTCAAATTTTAAGGGACCTCTTGGTTTCTTCCAGCTTGTGATAAGAAAGGTTCTATAAACATTCTTGTACAGGTTTTTGTGTGGACATAAATTGACAGTCTTGTTGATCAAATGCCTAAGATCACAGTTGCTGGAATGTGTAATAAGACTATGCTTAACTTTGTAAGAATCTGCCCAATTACCTCC